AGTATGCTTGCTGGTATGCAGTATGAATTTCAAAGATTCACTGACATAAAATAGCACCATGCTAAAAGTCCTCCAATATGTTTCAATAATATTGTCTGGGACATGTGTATATTCCTAAATATATGTATTTAATTGATGACCATACAGCATGTGTATCTTGACATAAGCAGACTGGCTGGTGGACCACAGGCAGGGATGGCAGGTGCTTGTTTATAGCAGGTATTCATTGTGTAAACCATAAGTTTTAAACACAGACAAGACATGGTACAAACAATGTTAATGCAGGCAATGGGAGAAGACACACCAGATTAGCCAAGGAAGCCCTCCGGTTGATGCATGAGGCGTGTCATGTGCGAGGAAAGCATGTTAATATCGGGTGTATCGGTGCTTGTGTTCTGCCCAAGGCTGTAAGTGCACTGAGGCTCTAGTGATTTATGCCCTGAACAGTCTTCCAAAGTGTTGAGATTAGCTGTACAGAGTTGCAGCCCTTAGGCATGACAGGATCCTATGATTGGGGTTCAATTCCCAGAGTAGACCTGATTAATGTTCTTGATTTGTCGGCACCAGACCCAAAATTGTTGGTTTCTCCATCGTGCTGATTATCCTGCATCACTTTCCTCCGACATTAAACTGACATATAGACTGATAGTGATATATAGACTGACATATAGACTGACATATAGACTGACATATAGACTGACATATAGACTGACATATAGACTGATATTTAGTCCCAGAAATAAATTTATTTTATTTAAAAATATATATCTCTACAAAATGAAAAATATAAAAATCCAAATGGAGAATAGAACAATCCTAGACTTGCCAAATAATTCTCGACTTGAGTTGGACTTCTTTTTAAATCCAATGCAGACCGACTAGCTGACAGACTACAATATGACGTACATACTGTTCAAAGGGGCCTAAACCTGCTTACTTTTCTTCATATGACAGTACAGAGTAGAAGGGACAATGGTGATGATTATGATAAGAATCTAACGTTCACCATTATTATTTTAAGTGTCCAAAATCGATTTACCTGTTACAGATGCAAAATTTTATTACAAGAATCCATAATCGATTTATGTGTTATAGGTTATTAAGAGTGAGTGAGTGAGTTAAAATTTAACGTCGCATCGGTATTATCTCATCCATATACTTAGCGATGGTTATTAAGACATTCATTTGATCTTTAAGTTATGGAGCATTAACACATGTATCACCGATACGCAGCCATTGATAAGTTCATTCATGGAAGTTAGACTCTTTAAGTTTTAAATATTCTTTTACCATGCGCTTTCAGTAGAAGTGATGGACAACCAGTTATGACCGATGATAGATCAGTTGAAACAAACTGAAATAGGAGCAGTGATCCATGGTATTAAAGTCACAAACGATTTCAAGAACTGTGAATAATTTGTATGTGTGATTTTCTTCGCAATAGATGTACCTGCATTCTCAATCGTCCAGTGTATTTTATGTCTCCATTCTGAGATGATAAATACGCAATTGCTACAATGGCTGCCTTTAGGACGTGATCAGCCTCCATAGCTCTTATTCTCAGGGAGCCTCGATTTATATATATTTAATGGTTATAAGGATTAAATTCAAGAGTGAACGTAAAGAATTTGCGCTGTGAGTAGGAAAAAGATCCTGAAAGCCCATTTAATGCCGCGTTATAAGCTTGCATGTTGATGTGACTGTCCGTGTCCAACTTCCTTTATTCAGTCAAAATGGTCGTGTCCTATCAAATAGAATGCAGATATGAGAGTGTTTCGTGTGAAACTAAGAATTAAGTACAAACACTGAGAAATACTGTCAGCGGTAGAAACTAACATTTTAGTCCACTAGTCCTTATAGTGAGTGAATATGGTTTTACGCCGCTTTTAGCAATATTCCAGCAATATCACGGCGGGGGACACCAGAAATGGGCTTCACACATTGTACCCATGTCGGGAATCGAACCCGGGTCTTCGGCGTGACGAGCGAACGCTTTAACCACTAGGCTACCCGACCGCCCCCCTAGTCCTTATAATGATAACATATAGCAAAACCCTTAAAAATGGCAAGTTTCTACTAGTCCTTGATAACTTAATTATTGGGCAGTTTGGCAAGGACTACATACTAGTGCCAATTTCTAATGTTGCTGTTGTCACGGTTATGGCTGCTTTGTGTAAGGACTCCGGGGTTGAACTGGTCCCCAGTCAGTCTTGCTGATGCGGGGTGATTACGTCAATCACTGGTTTGACTGGTTCAGAATTAATTATCTAATTATATGCAGTCATATAGCTGGAATATTGCTGAGTTGGTGTAAAACAACAAACAAATAATGAAAGGGCTCTTCATTTTACATCCTAGACAACTTTGAGGATTAATGTCTAACTTGCTGGCTCTTATTCTTAAACTTGATAAACCAAATACCCAGACTCTGCTCCTGTAACCTTGCTGTAATCAGATAGTAATAGATCGGGTAGGACTGGTGTGTGCAATGTGTGGCGACCCGTGAAGATCCGGGGTAGATTAGCTCTTCAGCAACCCATGCTTGTCATAAGAGGCAACTGACAGGATCGGGTGGTCAGGCTCGCTGACTTGTTTGATGCATGTCATTGTATCCCATTTGCGTGGATCGATGCTCATGATGTCAATCACTGGATTGTCTGGTCCAGACTCAATTATTTACAGACCGCTTCATATAGGTGTAATATTGCTGACTGCGGCGTTAAACGACAAACAAACAATGTGTGGCAATTTGCCATGTTTTATGTGCTCAAAACTGTTTTCATTTAAATCCCTTCTTCCCGGTTTACCCTGACAAGTCACGGCATGTTATCATGTAGAGAGACAATCTATTGTGAGGACAATAGAAGGCATTGATCGGAACACAAAGATGAGCACGACACCCGAACAGTCTCGTAGGTTCAAGTGTGAAAAAACTTACTTCTTTCCCCCTCAAACGCCAGGGATGTACCAGAATGAATATGTGCAAAAGACTGTGAAAAGGTTTGACCATCTCATCACAAGAGGTAACCATAGTTTGACCATATTGTTTTGTGTAATGAGTTATCAGCAGGTAAGTTCAGGTACATCGAAGCATCCATCATCATCTATGCTGGACATCCCAGCAGTGACAAGACAGCCACAACTTGTCCTGTAACCTACATGCTAATTGTCAGTGTGAATCACGTACATTGAACTGTAAACTGGTAGTAGAGAAGGAAATTGAACTTTGCTAGTGGCTTCTCTTGTCCGTCAGTCAGCTGTGTCAGTGATAATGTCTGTATAATGGATGTAGTGTCTGCTAAATAGGTGTTTCCTTATCAGCTACGACATCCGATCCAAACAAGATCTTGTCTTTACTTGTCTCCATGCACACAGGTTTAGTGTAATGAGATTTAATTTGATATTAGCTATAGATATTGGCAGAGGAGGAGGGGGGTCAATATTTGTGTTGTCTAGTAGAGTTGAGGCTAGGTGGGGGGACTTGGAATGTATTGATTCATCGTCAAGCTGGCGGACATCTCTCTCTGTCACAACATGCTGCGGTCTGCTGGATGCTCTTGATTATATTTCGTGGATGGGTCTTTGTTCTGACAGCACTCTGTGTTGACAAAGGGTAGTGATGAATTTAGTGCATGGCTTCAAACACGTCTGAAAATATTAAGACATGGTTCGTTGGTTAGTCAGGCTCAACTGCAAATCAGTTACACTATGACTTTAATGACTGTTTAAAAAATGTGAAAAATCATGCTCATTGTGCTGTTCTTTGTTATGACTTGTAATTTGGTGAATTAACAATGTATGAATCATGGACATGATACAGTGTAACCCTTATAGATAAGCAGCCCTCGTCTGATAAACATTTATTGTGAGTCGGCTATAAGGACAGAAACATGCTGCAAAGAGAATCTTACGGAAAATAGTTAGCAGTGCAGAAATGACACACACATTGTTAAGATGAAAGACCTTTTTGTGAAGAACACGTTTTGAGGTCGGACATTGTTCAATTTGTTGTTTGGCCACTACCAAACTTTCCATTCTCGTGTCAATAATTCCATCCCTGTGAAAATTTTGGCAAGCAGGCTGTGAACTATTTCACTCATTTGCTCAAGTCAGCCATGTTTTGTCACTGATTGTGTGACTCTCCCCTCCCTTTGTCTGAGCCGGATAATTGAGACTGGAACTACGTGAGCCGTCGCGGTCATGGATTCCACCCAGTGCCATCGCACCCATCTGCCTGGCACACACACAAAGGAATCAACTCCAGTATGTGGAGACCTTAGTCTGACAATTACCTGCTCATTTGGTTTTCACCATGTTGACAGATAATAACATATAGGAGGCAATGTTGTAGAAGTATGTTATAAAGGTGCTTGTGAACGCTGTGTATTGAATGAGAGGGGTGATTGCGAGGTATTTAAGTTTAGTACATAGCTTGTGCCAGGCAACAATGGCTAGTGGATGGTGAAATGTTTCAGCAGTAGAAACTAACATTTTTAATCCACTAAGTGACCTTATAATGATAACAGAAAAGCAACACCCTGAAAAAGGGCAAATTTCTACTAGTCCTTATGATACCTTTACTATTGGTCAGTTTGGCAAGGACTACAGGACTAGTGCCAACTTCTCACGCAGTGTTTGACTGATGCTGTACTTTTAAACTAAGGGTCAGTCCTGGGTCCTTGATGTCTGCTGTTAAAGTATTGAATTTCGCAATGCCTTAAATCTTCATTTCTCAAGTAAGGTTGTACAAGGACCCCTTGACTTCCACTGTGTTGAGATGTGTCTCTACAGCAGGATTTCCTAACTGCAGCCCGGGTGTTATCTCACACATGGCTGTATCTGTAATAAATGCTTAATCTGAGGTTAATCCTTGCTCTGACAACATTACAACGTCCCCATAGCAAGCTGGGATATAACTGCAGTTATCTCATATCTACACGATATAATACCCGGTCTGCACCATGTATATTACATGTGCCAATGTGTACTTATCCTTTCAGGTGGTGGGATGGACAGCAGCAGCAGGGATGTGTCTGGGGGAGACAGCGGCGGCAAGGGCGTGGCCGGGGGAGGGGGAGACAGCAATGTGGAGGAGCAGCTGGTTATGGTAAGTAGGCAGCCGTTCCTCCGTGTTCTATCTATCAGTTATTGTGTCGGTGTTTGTGTGAATGTTAGGGAATCCACAGTACCCAGTGCTTGCCTCCAACATTGTAGAGCAAATTAGGTCTCCAGTATCCCAATTCTTGACCTGGATCCAACAACCTGTCATAAAAGCCATCTTAAATGAGGATCCGGTGGCCACAATGGGAGGTCTGATTGTGTGTCACTGTACCGAGTGTACCCCGACATGTGGGAGTTTATCCTACATATTGCAGGTTGACATGATAGACTAAGGCATAAAAACACAATCACTTTCAGATACTCACTCACTTATCAACTCTTGTTCATTCACACATTGAGATATCCATGTATTATTTCTATAACAGAGACCATGACTAACCTTTATGACCTTTGACTCAGTTGTTGAATACAAAGGAGACACTCATCTGACTTTCAGCTGATCACTTGACCAACTTTATAGTTTTTAACCCATCACATTGGTAAAACAGTTGAAAAGTTTGATGGGTGTAACTTTGGATTTAACAGCAACATCAATTGAGGTGAGGAAAGGTCCTCCCTCTCGGAGTCTCCAAGCCCCCCTACTCTCTCTCCACAAGCATAATTAATACTCGGTTTCCCTAATTTAGTAATTAGCTTGACAGATTCTCTATGCTATGTATGATGACATTTGTGTCAGGCCAACAGATCTGATGTTCACACAGTGCTTTTGTTCTGAGGTTATTCCATCAGATACTAGCTGGGTGAATGAGGAAACTGACTCCTGTTTGGTTGATTTCCATCAATCATTTGTCTATGTTGCTCCACTCAAAGGGTGATGACCTGCAATAACTGTCATATTGCAGGATCAGAGGTTGGATATATAGCTCATTATTCCCCCTTCATCAGTGCTGATGATGTATGGATTGGATGCAGAGTATGTCAACTGAAATGTATCATAGTAGATAGTATCAACCCACCCCACCCCCGGCATATAATGTGTGGGAGGGGGGAATATGGTTGTCATCAGGTCTGTCTGTCCGTCCGCCCGCCTGTTCATCCATATTTTGTTCCAGAGCTTGATTCGAAAACCATGAACGATGTTTCATCCAAACTTGGTACATGTGTTAGCCAGGGTCTGAAGTTGTGTCTTTTTCTATTGTGGGGGCCGGGGTATTTGTCATCTTCTAATGACTCTTGTTTTAGTAAGGCTAAAAGAAATAATAGTCTTGGTTCTCAGGCACCGCCCGCATCATTATAAAGTTCGCCGCACGTTTTGTTTTTATTTCCATTTTTAAATCTTTTTAAAAAAATCCTTAAATTTTCCAGGTCCAACGGTCATCAAATGCTGTATTCACGTATTTTACTCATCAAGGAATACATTTATCTAGGGAGGCCTGTTCCCAGGTCAATTGTACAAAATTGTTTATTTGATTACACAACTGATAATCAAAACAAAAAAGAAGATACCACCTGCCCACACTATATTTTCAAAACCATTGCCTGAGAACGAATCTTTTTATTTTTTAAGCCTAAAGAATTAGTATTTTCAGGATTATTCAAGGTTTATTGATTTGTTAAATATCATCTTTTCCTTCCCTTTTAAGACAGTGAAAAATCTTTCCTAGAGCTTCAAATTGAAGTTAGAAATTTATCTAAGCATTCTTGGCCTAATGTCTGCATCAATTGTTCCACCAAATTCCCAGATTGGTATTAAAGACATTCAGTTCAGGTTATACTGGTCTACTAACTCTGTTCTAAGTGACTGAGTGACTGAGAGGGAAATTATTGCATTTGCAGTGTTCCCGTTTACCGGTAAATTTAGGGTGGACTGGTAATTTTTACAGTTGCCAGTCCACGTGGACTGGCAGTTTCAAAAGCTAGTGGGAACACTGGGATGGCAAGGTTAGAGGACCTGAATGTAAAAACAATTGTTGACCCCAAAAACATTTTCCCAATTTGCTGCCAAAGACTCATAGTTTAAGATCCGAGCAAGCTCCCTGGATGTAAATACTGGGCTCCATGACCAAGTGACGAGGAACATGACGTCCAGGTGTTTAGCAGTGGGACATGTACACCCATACTGGTCACATAGGGAGGGTCACGATAATGTTTCTTCAGTCCGTGTTCCTGCTTCCATGCACCTTTGTTTGGCTGGCTGTTGTGAACTAGGTTTCTACCATGACAATAAACATACAGGATCACATGTCCAGTGGCAGGCAGGCACCTGTAGTGTTTACAAACGCAAGGAAAATTTACTTGACTTCAGATTTGTGTTACTGACACGAACTGGACAGGGATTGTTGGACTCTTGGTGTGACAAACATTTCACGAAGGCCCGTAGACTGATACATGCTGTTGTATCTGTCACCTGTCATCTTCCCGAGGCTAGGGAGTTAACTTTCTATAAGTGTCCAGTTTCAACCCTTGCCAAAGTTCCTTGCTGGAATTCCGGAATTACATTTTGGCTGGACTAATGAGTCTATGCATAGTCCAATCAAAATTGCGTAACAAACTAGGCATCTGGATCTTAAACAACATGGATTTCAACATGCTGATTTCTGTCAACTGAAGGATTTGCAAAGCATATGTACCGCCAACTGGGCGTTGACAGATATTTTGCAAATCTTTTCATGTTTTTAATCAGTGCTCAAGTGATTCTATGCACTTCGCAAGGTAGGGCCCATTTTATTACAATATAGATCCTGACTATCAATCAGATGGTTTTGACTGGGCGCTGCCATTTCTTTTTAAGCAATTGGAAGTGATAGAAGAGATGAATCTGATTGGTCAATAGGAGGGACATAGAAGTGACATAGCTCGTAATAGCCACTGCTGGCGCTACGATTGAGCCCAGAAATACCAACGCAGGTCGGCAAAGGTGGTAACTTGACTTTCTTAGTCAGTTAACTCCCCTGCCTCGTGAAGATGGTCCCCTGTAGGACTGCAGAGACAGGTCAGGGTCTTACCTTGACTTACACTAATTCATTTTAAGGGTCCTTGCAGGCAATATGAGGAAGTCATGAAATGGTATAGTGTACTGTAAGTTTTGATAATATCTTTAGAGCCTGCAAAGAATCAGTGATCATATGGACAGTAGGCATGATTGATGAATGAAATGACAGAAGCCCATAACTGCTCTTGATGCACTGTACGTAGGTGCAATGAATATTATAGTGTGTCCCTGGGACGCAGTGAATATATTTTCTACGTCCAATTGCAACATTTGTGAGTACTGGATGCGTAAAGCTTGTACTTGTACACTTGTACATGTGTTAGACTGCTGTGGTGTCTGTCACCAGTTGGACAGTAGAGGGCCTGGTTACAACGACTGGGTCCCGCTGGGAACAGTTGACAGCTGCTAAAGCAAACTCCAGCCTTGATCCCGATTCACATATCCAGAGCTTCAGATCTATTATCTGGAGCTCTGTATATATCCAACTACATTTGACAGATTGTTTAATCAAATAGATTTTCTGTCGCGTGGTGTTGCTTATGCCCCAGCTACCGGAAGCTGACAACATCTGCAGCAGAATGATAGCACTCGATGTAGGGTATAGGTAAAAGGTAGAAGAGGACAACACTTACCTGGACAATCTGTGAGCCTTACACAACACACAACACACAACACACAACACACAACAAATGTGTTGATCAACTTACCCCAGAAATCCCCTGCCTCCATCACACACTAAACCAGCACTTTATACCCTCTACAAAATACTGTAAATCATGAAATTAATGGGTTACCAAATTAATGTGAGTTTCGACCCCTGGCCTAAAGGGGGTCATGATATTTACGGAAGGAGCCATGCCTTTGAACTATAAAAACTAATCAGCAGACACTGACGCCAAGACTGCAGACTTAGAATTCCATGATATAGTATGGGGTGATAGCAGTTTGATTGAATGTTGATCTTCACAAATTAAACTTCAACTGCTTGACATGAAATCAATAGGAGGAGATTCCACATATTCAAATGAAACTGGTTGGGTCAGTGTTGAAGATTGTACAGGTTCCAAGTGTTGTAACATGAGTGTGTATTCCCCACAACTGCTTTTACTGTACCGGACATGGTCACTCCGTAGTTGTGCAGTGTTACGTATTCCCCACAACTGCTTTTACTGTACCGGACATGGTCACTACGTAGTTGTGCAGTGTTACGTATTCCCCACAACTGCTTTTACTGTACCGGACATGGTCACTACGTAGTTGTGCAGTGTTAGGTATTCCCCACAACTGCTTTTACTGTATCTGACATGGTCACTACGTAGTTGTGCAGTGTTACGTATTCCCCACAACTGCTTTTACTGTACCTGACATGGTCACTACGTAGTTGTGCAGTGTTACGTATTCCCCACATCAGCTTTTACTGTACCTGACATGGTCACTATGTAGGTGAGCAGTGTTACGTATTCCCCACAACTACTTTTACTGTACCTGACATGGTCACTACATAGTTGTGCAGTGTTACGTATTCCCCACAACTGCTTTTACTGTACCGGACATGGTCACTACGTAGTTGTGCAGTGTTACGTATTCCCCACAACTGCTTTTACTGTACCTGACATGGTCACTATGTAGGTGAGCAGTGTTACGTATTCCCCACAACTGCTTTTACTGTACCTGACATGGTCACTACGTAGTTGTGCAGTGTTACGTATTCCCCACATCAGCTTTTACTGTACCTGACATGGTCACTATGTAGGTGAGCAGTGTTACGTATTCCCCACAACTACTTTTACTGTACCTGACATGGTCACTACATAGTTGTGCAGTGTTACGTATTCCCCACAACTGCTTTTACTGTACCGGACATGGTCACTACGTAGTTGTGCAGTGTTACGTATTCCCCGCAACTGCTTTTACTGTACCTGACATGGTCACTACGTAGGTGAGCAGTGTTACGTATTCCCCACAACTGCTTTTACTGTACCTGACATGGTCACTACATAGTTGTGCAGTGTTACGTATACCCCACAACTGTTTTTACTGTACCGGACATGGTC